TCATGTTATTCGGTGCAAGGACTGTGACAGGGGCCATTGTTCTGTCAAAGCCCTTGATCTTCAAACTTATCCGTTCATGTGCCTGACGGTAAGCAAAGATGTGCTGCTGAAAGCTCTGAGAGATGACGAATCCGACTCCATACCATTCGGAAGAAGCATGGGCGCCAGACAGAATGAATCAAAAACCGTATGAATGATATACATTTGATTCACTCTTCCTGGTTCGTGTGAGCAGCAAATATGTCAACATCGAACCGAGACATGTCATCAAGGATCTCAAACTCTTCAAGCTCACTCAGCGCTTCCACATTACAAGACATGATTTTTAGCTGGCTCATTCTGTGGACATCACCACTGCCAGCTCCAAAATTTGCCCACACAGCCTCCCTGTTGTCCACAGACCGCCTGGCTCGGGGCCTTGACCCTTTCCATTGCTGGAGGTCTGGGCTTTTGATTTCTCCAAACGGTTCTGTGACTTCATTGTGACTCCCGCAATTCTTCTCATTCTTGCCATTCTCCGTCGCGCCATTTTTTTTTGCGGAAGTCTAGCCACAGTGGCAACTTCCCGACCAGCTAAAGAGAGGATTCCCGTGTGGATGTCGTATTTGATGCATGCCGCGTTGAAATTCCACGGAACTAGCATTGTTTAATTGCAAAGAGGGCGCCTTCCACGATGCGAACATCAAACCATTCAAACCGTAAGTGAATCTTGGCAAAATCTGGGCCGAAGGCTGGACCTGGTTAGATCGACGGTGCTGTATTGCAACCTCCTTGATGCTTGGGATGAACCGGTCACGATGTGACTCACTTTGGCATTTGACAAAGAACAGGTTGGAGAACAGCCACTTGGTGTACACATCCGATTCACTCAGTGGGGAAATATCAACAGCACGACAGTGTGCATCCAACCGCGGCTTTAAATCTTCCAAATTGGTCCTTCTGGGTATGTTGCCCACCACCATGGAAAGAAACCTGGGATTGTTGGGCCGTGGATTGGGTGGAGTCTTCGTACTGACTATCAACTTGCCCATCTCCTGCTCCAATTTTTTCCACACGTGCCAGATTGTCCGGAGACCTGTTTCTCTGCTGCAGAGATTCTCAATCCCACCGATTCGAATTCCAATATGACTGATTTCTTGAACTTGCTGAGGTCTAGTCGAAGCTGTTGAACGAATTCACTGACGGGTTTTAGCTTCCAGTACATCCAGAGGACCGTCAACTCTACGGTTCCTACGGTTCCTTTAAGGCGGCCTTTCACTGGCGTAGCCACCTTTGTTTTAGGCCACCTCTGAGCCTTGGCTTGAGCCAAAACGAAAAGATTTCGAAACCTCTGAAGAAATATCTGGGCCTTCCCGCGTATACTCCGCGCATACCCAACATCAAAGCTCTGCGTAGAGCCGAATGCTGTCCTTTTACCGATTTACTCTTGCAGCGGCAACTCCTACCACGTGGGAAGCCGTCCAGATGTCCACACGAGCATCCCATGCATAACGCAACGTTCATTCTTGGAAGTTTGCCTCCTGCTGCCGGTTGTTACGGGCGAAGGGACCGAGGTGTGAATGGGCTACGGAAATTCGTAATGACGCTCTTCAATTTTTCCCACGGCCACGAAGAAACTGCCAGACTTGTACAGAATCCAGTTGTCGTGCCGGTAGTGTCCACACGCCGCCTGGCGTATGACCAACTGACTGGCTGGCTGGCTGACTGACTGACTGACTGACTTTGGACAGCCTCAGCCTAATGCTGGATCCTGATTAGCCCGGACCCCCCCCCCCTCCAAAACTAAAAGGGGAGACTCTGTAATAAAAAGGTGTCAAAGCCAAATGGGGGTCTGCGGAAAGAGCAAGGACTTGTTCAGTTGAGCTTGAGGAGAGTAAGAAGGGCCTTTATAGCCTCAAAACCTGTTAAAACCAATTACTACTTATAATCCAATTAAAATCCTGGAATTCTGTTTAAGATCAATTAAACTCAATTAGAAATCGACTTAAAAGGATTCGAAAACACGAATGGCCTCACCATTACCCAGCCAAAAAAACTTTTACATACTTGAGACCCCCGAAACCTTAATATTATTGAGGATCAGGGGCACTGCTGGACTACCCCCTTTGGAATTGATTGCCTAGCCTGTTCGAATAAGCGGTTCATTAGAAATTGATGGTTATTGGTTTCATCAACTTCCAGATTCTACAGGTTATAGAGCCTCTCATTTTCATGTAGAGGCTTAGCTTTAAAACCAAAAGCATTTTGGCCCCATCAACACCTTCACCAAAATCCTTCTGGCAGAAAAAGCTTTACTTTATTGGGACCCCCCAAATCAAAGAGGGTGTCCAGAAGAGTTGTCTGCAAGCAGTACTTTATTGAGCCCCTAGACTAGTCAGGATCCAATATTACTTGCTGCTCTATGCTCCGATCACTGTTTGCAAGAAGTCCTTCAAAGGTTGCAGATCGAGGCATGCTGCATTTAAGAGGAACTCCGCAGACAAGTTTCGGCTGCTTGAGGTTCAGTGCCGTGCCGCAATTCCAAATCCAGAGGGGTGTGCATCATGCAAAAAGCCAGGCGTAAAGCACCGCAGAATTATGCTGAGCCATAACAAGGATTTGTGCAGACCAGCGGAGCGAAATGGAATTGAGGCCGACTCCTGCAAATTGCAAAAAATGATGCGAGAGCCTTCGTTCTCTTGGTTTCGCACAAGAAGTCTAAATCGGCAACGTGCCTGTGGAATTCAGGCCAGCTTGGTTGGTTTGTGCTCTTCAAAAGTCAGAGCCTAGACCAAACCCACAACTGTGCCCGTTACTGACTGACGCTGACTGGTTTTTTGCATAACCCTAACACCAAGAACTTGCTGACTTTCTTGGAGAAAACGTATAGTTTTGATGTTAGAGGGTATTCCCAGGGAAAGAGGGCTGGAAGGTCTGGTTAGTCTGGTTAGTCTGGTTACCCCGGTGCCTCTCTTGTCTGTGAAGATGTACTATCGTCAACTGGAGCACACCAGATGAGATGCCCTCAGTTGCCAAACATACTAGAGAGATGTATCAATGAGAGGGCACTTAAGCTCCAATGCGTGCGTCCAAGTTGTTGTGGATGTGTATTGTGAACCTGCCGAAACATCTTAACTCCTAAGCCATTCAATGAGTATTTGTGCTGATGTAAGAGTGAAGGCTAATCTCTCTCACGATGTTAAGAAATCAAGCCTCCCAGATTCCCATTGAAGCTGCAATGTCCTGAACATTGGAATGGAGACCCTCAGTTTCTTGAATCCAGCTTTGCCTTTCTCGTTACGTGCTCAGGAATCCTGTTGAATTCAAATCTGTTTGGGGTTTTTGTGTGTTGAATGTTTTCGGTTTTAGGCTTAGGCTTTAGGGTTCTGAGGGTTTAGGGTTCTTCGGAGATCCAAGGTTTCGGGATTTTAGGGTTTGGGTTGTTCAGCGTTTAGAGTTCTTAGGGTCTAGGGTTCTTGGGGTTGAGAGTTTTGAGAATTTAGGGTATGTGGGGTTTAGGAGTTTTTGGGATTAGGATCTTTAGGTTTTAGGGCTTTTAGGGTTGAGTGTGTTTTGGGTTTAGTTAAGGGTGTTTACGGTTTTTTGGGGCTTGGGATCGCTAGGGTTTTAAGTTGGGGGGTCGCTCGCGGGACGGGGCCTCTAGGGTTTAGGCGCGAAAGGGTCTTTAAGGTCAAGGGTTGGGGGTCTTTCAGATTTAGGGCTTCAAGACTTTTACGGTTCAGGGGTTAGGATTTTTAGGGTTTAGGGTTTACTGTTCTTAGCGTGTTTTAGGGTTTCTTGGCTTAGAGAGTGTGTAGGGTTTAGAGTTAAAGGTTTTCAGGATTCGGGTTGGTGATTTTTGGGTTTAGGGTGTTTAGGGTTTCGGGCTTAGGGCCTTGGGTTGTTAGGCTTTACGGTTTTCAGGGTGTAGGGATGGCAGGATTTGGGAGTTTAGGGTTTGTAGTGGTTTTCGGGTTTAGGGTGTTTAGGGTCTCGGGTTTTTAGGCTTTAGGGCGTTTGAAGTTTAGAGTTCTTAGCGTTTCGGGTTTTAGGCTTTAGGGTTTTTAGGGTTTAGGCATGTCAGGATTAAGGAGTTCAGGGTTTGTAGGTGGTTTTCCGTTTCAAGGTGTTTGGGGTTTCGGGTTTTTAGGCTTTAGAGTTTTTAGGGCTTTGGGTTGTTAGGCTTTACGGTTTGAAGGGTGTAGGGATGTCAGGATTTGGGAGTTTAGGGTTTGTAGGCGGTTCGACGGACTCGACTGAGGGTTTCCAATTGGGGTCACTCCTTTGGGTCCCTCTTGATTATTTCACATACATAATTTGATACATTCTTTCCTTCATCTGAAAAGCCCTTGCTGTCATGTACTTCAAGGCAGAACCACCCATCAACAAATGCGTTGCAAGCTTTATAATCATTCACAGCTAATTCGGCCAAGTGACATTAAAAAACTTAGGACAAAATGAGCATGACAATTCAAATTCAGAAAGCAAAAAACAATCACTTAGGCCGGGATTGGGAGGCACTCGACAGCAGGGGTCCGAGAGCCGTTTGGCTGACCTCTGCCACGTTTTCTTCCCTTCGAGCCTTCGATAAGCCAGAACGAATCTCATCCTAAGTGATGTTTTCCTCTTCCTAAGCGAGCTCCCACCCTTGGTGATACTGGTGATGTTTATAGAAGGCACTTAGACTGCCCAGCACTAGCCCAACAAACCCGTCGTGCGAGTCATGCATGTCCGCAATTGCTCAATTGTGATGTGTCTTGTAGAACCTGGGGCAGCACCTGGAGGTGCGCAGGTACGATTTGTCCATGGAGTCGGCATGTCTGCATCTGACAACACCTCTCCCCAAGTTTCTCTTCATACATATACATATATGAGGTAACTTTCACATCTCTGCTCTCTTTGTGCGTCACACGCATTCACCCCCCTGGGCTTTTCGGTCGTGTTGCCTATTGCCTACGGCATGGCCTGCTACTGCTAGCATGCAACAAGCTGGTAAGATACTGCCAGCCCTTAAGCACGGCCTTGCAGCACAGATGATCGCTTTGAGCTCAGAGACTGCAGGTCGTCAGGGAAGGTTCCTGTGCACTGCACAAGAAAAGAAATCCCTGAGAGTCACGAAGCAACATGCACCTGAAAGTGCTGGTGGCTCTGGCGGCAGCATCCGCCGAGTAATGGGATCGTGTTTGTACCCCATGTGCTCATACGCTTCAGCCACAGAAGCCCGCCCTGGCATCAAGTCTTCCAAGCGACGCCTGCAGGGCAATGCAGCGCCCAAACCCAAACAAGCCTATCTCTTGTTTCATTCTTGCAGTAAATCAATAAAGGAGCTGTCAAGTTACCTTGCTGCTTCACGGTTCCAGAAAGAATCCTAAATCCCTTTAACTGCGTACAGCAACAGCTGTCTATCCTGTGCCGGACAGGTCCAAGTCCAGATTGGAGGTATTGCCTGAGCTTAGCTTTGCCCCGAAAGAGATGCACAAAATCTCTCTGATCATGCTGCCTGCTACCTGGAACTAATGCCAAGTCTCTGATTTGCTCTGATGTTCGCGTCGCGCTTCAGATTATCTCTATAAACTTTCAGAGCTCCGAGGGCATCAAACTTTTTAGAGGAAACGCCAGGATAATGCGGTTCTGGCTTGTCAGGATCCGGGGGCGCACCAAATCTGGCAGTCGGGACGCCCAACGAGACCATCTTGTCAGGGCCGCTCACAACTCGACATCTGGGGCAGATCTATGCGTGATGCCAGCCAAAATGTTACTGCGCAATGCCCCTGGAACCAGGTTGTGCGACTGAAGTGGATCTGATTTGAAGGGCAGGCCTGTCGCGAAAAGTTTCTGAAAACTGCGCTCCCCTGATGGGCGTACTAGGCCACCAAAGGCTAAGGTCCGTTTCATGCATCATACTGAACGTTAAACAGCAAGTGAGGTGGCGCCAACCTACTTTTTGGCCTCGATTGATTGTTGAAGTTCTGCGCCCCCATCCATCTCCAAGTGTTGTGCTCTTGCATAAATATTCTCACAACCCTGGCTTAGCCTGTCGTTTCAGAATGTCTCCTATGGATCTATGATGCAAAAGGAAACTTGGACTGCGATGAAAAGCCCTGAAGCCAACACATTCATTGCCAAACGTTGCAAGATGATGTGCTCAACTGGTTGATTCTTCGTTCCCAGGTTTAGCGCATTATGTCACTTAATGCAAGCGCACCGGGACTCTCTTTTCACTCAGCAGTCGCGCAGTTCAACCTAGGCTGCCTCTAGGATAATGCATTGGGTTCCTGTCACCCAGGCAGCCACCCGGGATGAATGTGGCATTCCAAGGGCCCCTTGCTATCACTTGTCACAGGTCGACTCCTGTCAGGTCACACACAGGTCGACTCCTGTTCTGCTCAAACCAAGCTGCTGCCATTGTGGCTCACAACCCAGCTTGGACCCAAAATGGCAGCAGCATAAACCTTCAGGAATGATTTGCATGCACCCGAGCCTGCCAAACTCAACATGCCAACAGGAATTTTGTGGGGGTTGAATGCAACCAGGCTACGCACCATATAAATGATCCCGGTCCCCTAGACCCAACTCCCGCGCGCTTGGCATGGCCAACCTCGCAAAGGCGCAAACGGTCACAGGGATGGTGGGTGCCCAGGAGCCCAGGTCACGATCCTCCTAACATCTCCTGACTGTCCTCCTTTTTCTCTGTCGTTTTTGTTTTTGATGTCGCAGATCTCAGAAGCGCTGGGAGTCACAGGAATGGTCTCAGATGGTAGCAGTCATACCAGAGGATCTGACTGATTTCAGCAATGAAAGATGACTGTTCTTGAAGGAAGACACCCACTCACACCACCGGGGAGGGGAGAAGGCCTGAGTGTTTTCCGAAAAAAAGAGACCGTGACTGCTTTGGTATCGAGAGGGAATATGGCAAAGCTCCATATTTCCCCGACTTTTTCGTTTTTTTTTTTTTTTTTT